TCTCTCTCTCTCTCTCTCTCTCTCTCTCTCTCTCTCTCTCTCTCTCTCTCTCTCTCTCTCTCTTGTTCCCCCCACCTTTACCTGACCTCTCCCCTTGCTCTGTACCCCACCCAACCTCTGCCCTCCCTCCTCCTTCCATCTGCCCTCCCTCCTCCTTCCATCTGCCCTCCCTCTGCCCGACTTCACCCTGCCGTCTTTCCCCTTCCTCCCGGTCTCCTTCCACTTCCTCCTCTTCCTCTTCACGCTTTTTCCCATGCTCGTCTCCCCCTTACCTCTTCCCTTCCTCCATACGTCACTCAACCTCTGAACTACGTTCTGCTTTCTGTCCTCCCTTCGCCCTACTTCTCCCTGGCGCCTCCCTTTTCTCCCGGCCTCCTCTGGAGCTTCTCTTAAACCTCCCTCTGCCCTCCCTCGCCTGGCCACCTGACTCGGTTTCCGTCGCCCAATCTCCACCTGACCTCCCCTCTATCTCCTCCGTCCTACTCCTTCCTCCGCCCGATTTGCACTGACCTCCTCCTTCCCCCAATCTCCTTCCTCCCCTTCCTTCCTTGGCCCGGTCTCCACCTGACCTCCTGCTTCCACCCTACTCTCTGCCGCCTTTCCCCTCCCTACAGGCCTCCTCCGCACCTTCTCTTCAACCTCCCCCTGGCCTCCGTCTGCCTGGCCGCCTCATTCCCCTTCGCTCACCCCCTTCGCTCGCCTGATCTCTGTCTGACCTCCTCCTTTCCTCGATCTCCTCCCTCCCCTTCCTTCCTCAGCCCGATCACCACCTGACCTCCTACTTCCATTCCTCCCTCCGTCCTACTCCCTACCTCCCCCTTCCTCCCTCAACCGGACGCCCTTGCTTCGTAACGCCCGACGTAAGAAATACTTATGTTCCTTTATCCTTGGACGTAAACGCGCCGTTTGTTATCAAGATCGGTCCATTTCTTTTAAGATCTCAACACTGTTGCACACGCGCAAGAAGGAGAGAGGGAAAGCCGGAGAGAGAAAAATGCATTTCACCCAACACACTTCCTTCCTTGCACCTTCTTTGTCCTTGTCTGTCTCTTCCACCACCACGTCTTCTGCCTCCTCAAGATCTTCCTCCTCAACACTTTCCCTCGGTCTTTTCCTTTTGGAGCGGCCTCATGATTAACTGCCCTGCGCCAGGTATTTCAGGCTATCGATATTTCTTTCCATATTTCACTCTCTTCCTTCCCCCCCCCTCCCCCCCCTCAACATCCACACCCCTCACTGTGTGCGTCTGTGTGCAACCGCACGCATAAGAGCGCACGCTCGCCCTCATTCACATCGAAAAAGAAGTGGCGCTAAGACTTAACGCAAATTGAAAAAGCTAAGAAAAACGCAATGCACTCTTTACATCGTCCCCAGATAAGAGAGCACGAAGCGAGGGAGGATGGAGGGCACAGGTAGGTAACGCCACCAGAGGGAGGAGGGAGAAGGTGAGGGAGGAAATAAGGAAGGAGAAAGGGAGGAAGGAGAGAGGGGCCGATGGGGCAGGGGTGAGGGAGGAGAGAGGGTCGAGGCAGGAATGGAGGACGGGCCGAGGGAGGAGGGATGGTGATGGTGCCTCTGGTGTCTCTCTCTCTCTCTCTCACTCTCTCTCTCTCTCTCGATGGAGGGAGGAGAGAGGACGGCACGAGAGAGAGAGAGAGAGAGAGAGAGAGAGAGAGAGAGAGAGAGAGAGAGAGAGAGAGAGAGAGAGAGAGAGAGAGAGAGAACGGATTCACGATGAGCACGGATCCACGATGAGCGCCGAGCACAAAAAGCATGTATCCACGATGAGCACGAAGAGCACGGATCAACGATGAGCACCGAGCACCAAAGAAAAGCACGGATCCCCAATGAGCACGAATCCACGATGAGCACGTATCCGCGATGAGCACCGAGCACCAAAAGCACGGATCGACGAGGAGCACGTGATCACGCACCAAAGAAAAGCACGGATCCACGATGAGCACGAAAAGCACGTATCATGCACCAAAGAAAAGCACGGATCCACAATGAGCACGAAAAGCACGTATCATG